GATCTTTGACATGCAATCTACTTGTTAATGTGTAAATTACCGAGCATTGCAGAGTGATTAGCGTAGCTTGGGTAATCATTGCTAATCATTGACATTATTGCAAAACTTTCGAAGAAACATAACGAATTTAACGGTTTATGTATCTCTTTAATTTCTAATTCTTCCGTAAAGCTATTCTTTTTTAACGAAAAAAAAAAAAAAGAAAAATTCTCAAAATTACCCCATACATCAAAATTCAAACTGATAGCTTAATGTGGATTAATAGACAATTTCCCACAAATATATAGATATATTTACAAGTACATAAAACAGAGTATAGTCTAGAAACAATCTACAAACAAGTATTTCAACCTTGCTAAGGAAATGACACAACTCGATTACAAAAATGCTGACAGAGATGAGAAATTCGTCGAAATGAAATTGAACGAACGACGTTTGAACTGCGTTGTTTCTTTAATCAGAACGAAGTATCGAAACCATTTCTCTCCGTTTCATTCGAGAGACATACTTTTCCTAGTTGTGTCATTTTCTTTCCAGATAGAAATTTCACTCGGATGTCGGCGAATTGTTTGTTTCAATTTGAACAAAACACAAATAACACTGGATCTCATTCACCAGATCTTACTCGAGTGCACATTAGAAATCACGCACTGGACGGATGTTGAAAAATTGTACGATGCTCCCTCGGAAGACAGGCAATTTGAACAAGTCACCGGGAGTCGGAAACTCGCGCGGGAATTTTAAAATGGAATTTCGTCGGCCGACAGGATCGAGAACGAACATGCTACTTACGATACTGCAGCACAGCAAAGAAGACGAACACGAGATAGCTCACGACACTGACCGCCATCTCCCGCACTCCCGTGGTTTGTGATATAACATTCAGACACGCGGTGATGAAAAATCACAGTAAAAGTGTGCTTCCCGCCGCTTCTCCCGGCCGATTGCAACATGCAAAAGACATACAGCGCAGGGATAACAGAGAGGAGCCCGGAGGGGACTTTAGAAAGTCATTGGCTGCTTCTATACCTTCTCTCTTTCTCTCTCTCTCTCTCTCTCTCTC